ACACACACACACACACACACACACACACACACATGCACGCACATGTCACACATACGTACACAGAGATTTCAAAGGAAAAAGAAAGAAGAGGAGGGGAAGAGGGAATTGAAGAATAAATGCACATATTCATGCATGAAAATGTGTCTCCTTTATTAAGATTTTGATCCTTAGAAGCCTCCAGTTTCTCTGTAATAGGTTTTTGCTTGAGGGTCAAGAACACCTTCTGTATCATCTTTCTATTTAAATCTACTGCAACCAATAATTTCTATATTTTTAAGAATAAATACACAAATAATATTTTTAATTCATTTATTTTGGAGATAATTGAATTTCAGAAATTCTAACATCATATTTCTTGTACCAAAGTAGAGATCTGAGTGTCTAGATCGAGTAAAAATCCTAGCTTGGAAGAAGGAGACAGGAGAATGAGGAGACTGGACCAACAAAAGGAACAATTAGAAGGGAGGCTATGGTTGATTCAGTTCAAGGGTTTATGCAGATAAAACAAGCCATTTAGGACCCAGATATAAATGCTGCTGATATCTCAAGGAGCACTGGCTCTGGCTAACCAAGCACACAACAGACCTCTGCATGACACATGTTAAGGAACACACTTGCCCTTTCATGAAAGGAGAGGAGATGTCCTGACCAGATCCTATGGCTTTAAAATTAGAAAAATATTAACAATCACATGCCTGGGAACTTCCAGTTTAGGTGAAAAAATTAAGTTCTGACATTTGCAGTCAGCACGGCCAAGTCTCCATGTCTGATTCCTGAAATTCAGGTTGTATATTAAGTTGAGGTATAAAGATATATTCTCTAGAGTTACTTTTATGGGTTTCAGTTGAGGACCCCATGGAAACAAAAAAGTGACTTTCCTTGCATTGGCAAAAGCACAAGAAAGATAAGCTGTTTAGGGAGGAAGGAACCTGTTCCAATCTCTGTCCCAAGGTCTTTTCCTAATGTGTGCGTCAGCCTGAAAATTTTTTCATACGTAATGTCTAAGTCTAATTATTTTATTTGGCTACAAAGGATTGGTGAAGTATGTTTGAATTGTTTTGATGCTAGCATTGTCAGAGGCCAATATTAAATCATTTGGAAATGATGATACTTCAGGTTAGTCAATATTTCTGCAGATGTTTTCTTGTTCAGTTTGTTTGAAACTAAACCAAATAGAATTTGTTATGGTGAAATAGAATACACCAAATGATTATGTCAATTTTATTTTCTTATTGTATAAGTATAGGCAAAAAGTGAAAGGAACAGTTCTTAAATACTTTCCTCCTCTCACTGCCATTGCTGCATTTCAAGAACTCTCTGTGTTACAGAAATTTCTGGATAGCCTTCCTGACGCCACGAGGCTCCATCCTCATCCATCCTGAGCAGTACAGCACACTTATCTCTCTAACACTCAGTTATAGTCCTTGTCACTTCCCCGCATAAAAAATGTTCATGGTTTTCAGTCACCTACATAATACTGAAATTCCCCAGCATGACATCATTAGCCTTTGCTATCTGGACCCTGTCTTTATGTCTGGTTTTAGTTTTTTGAGGCCCCCAGATATTCTCCATGTTTAGTAGAATGAATTCAAAGTCACAAATATTCACTAAGTGCTTAAATTTTCTCAATCTCCAAGATAAGTACTGGGAATTAAAATACAAGTAAGACCTTGGCTCTGTCCTGAAGGAGTTCATCCTGAGGAAGGATAGAAACACATAGTTGTCCTTTTCCATAAGCGATATTTCCCAAGCCACCCAGGATCCTGAAGTTGCGAGGACAGTGAATTCTATACATTATGCCCTCCTTGGGTGTATATACCCATAATGAAGTGTTATAAAATAAGTACAATAAGGTCTGAGTGATAAGTAATAATATATAACAATTACACCAGTAAACTCAGTGAAACATGTAAACACTGAATGGTGCTTGTCTATCTTAAGATGATGCAAGATGTTACAGTGCCGATCTGATGAGAGGAAAGAATTGAATGGCATAGGCACTGGGGTACACTGTAGGCTTGGATTATTGTAACATGATTGTACATCAGGTGGATCGTCTGATTTAGGATGTTCTCAGTAATTGAACCTATAGTGATTTTGGATGGATAAAGCACAGAACAGGGATATGCTAGACAAATGATACCTCAGGAGGAACATTCGAACTTCTACTAGAATTGATTTCATATGTGTTCTAATTGATTTTCATATCTGTTTCTCTAGTGACCTGTAAGTTTTTGCTGGCAGTATTCACTAATCCAATAACATGATTACCTAGGGCAATGACTCACATATACTATATGATACAAATATCTGTGGGATAAACACTCTTTTAATATTTTTCTTGTATAATAAAGTAACATAGATGTCCCACCCTTTGTAGATCTTGTTTGTTAAAAGATGAGATAATGTGGTTCTTTAATAGTACTTATCTGACCCAAACTTGATTTAGTGACCATATTCATCATAACATTTACTGAACTTTTCTTGTCTGCCAGGCATAGCCTTAAGAATAGCTATAAATTGCCTCTTTTAATCATCAAGACAGCTGTATGTATTGGGAAATATTACAATTTCCTTTCATTGATTTTACACCCTCATTAAAAGCATTATCATCACTGTAATAGTTGATTACTACATAGCACTGTTGTGTGCCAATTATTCTAATGCTAATCATGTATTAGATCACTTAATCCTCCCCCTGATAAGACTTATTATATAGTCTCTATTATCTTAATTTTATGTATGAGGAAACTGAGGCTCAGAAGACAATGAACTTGTCACAGAACATACCACCAATGATATGTCAGGCCGAGATAACCATGATGTTTTGATCTAAATCTCATACTAAATCATGTTTCATTTTGTGATTCGGTTGTAATCCATTATTCAAAATAATCATTATCTACAGGAAGTTGAAATAATAGGGTTTATATCATATAACCTACTTTACTAGCTAAATGAAAATAGACTTCTGGGAATCCCCCACATATTTTTGATTTTGTACATTTCAACCTTCATTAAGGGAAATCCTTTGGAAGATACAGAATCATCTGATTGAGTGAAGGTTTGTATGAAATGGGTTCTCTTAAGAGGCTTTAATCATACCCATCTTAGGTATTCCCCTGCCTCCATCTTTTTGTTTTATTTTCTGCTTACAACAAGTAAGGAATATTTATTGGAAATGAGTCCTGCAAAGAAGGTTTACGGCATTTGGGACTGCAAAATTATAGTTCACTATTTTATGTTTGTGTATTTTATGCAGTATATTTTTTTATCATATTTAAACCACCTCCTCCTGTTTTCACTACTTCTTACTACTCACTGCCCAATTTCATGTACTCTATTACATATATATATATATATATATATATAATATGCCTATAGAGTCAAATTGTGTCTCTGAGTGTCCTCCGTTGTGGGTCTATCCACTGGAACCCAGTTAATTTATGAAGAGTCTCACCCATGAAAGAGACTAGCTGTCTCCTTCCTGGGAGCCTCTGATTTCCAATAATTCCTCTAGTGGTGTTGTGGTTCATTATCTACTTCCCATAATGATGTTGGAATTTTCCTTGGTTTGAGCTATGGGTACTTGTGCATTCTGTCATTGCTGTGAGTCCATATGAGTAACTTTCCAGGTGTCTGAAAAACTCTTTTTCCATGTGGTCACCCACCACCTCTTGTCTCTTACAATCAGTCTTTGTGCCACCTTTCCACAATGATTCCTGAGCCTTTGGAGCAGAAATTTGATATAGGTATCCAATTCAGGGATCATCATGCTTCAGACTCTTAGTCTCTACATGTGTCTTTCTGTATTAAGTACCATCTGCTACATAAGGAAGATTCTCTGGTAGGAGTTGAAAGATGCTTTAGTCTATGGGTATAACAATAAGCTATTAGGAATCAGTTTAATACTATATCTAATTAGCAGAACAATGTTATTAGGCTCACATCCATGGCCTGTGAAAAGTCCAACCATATGTTCCTAGGCTCAATATCAATGTCAGGTACATTCTCCATCTTTTGAAGCAAACATTACATCTAATTAGAAAGTAATTGGTTACTCCCACTATATTTGTGCCACTATTGCATCAGGGATCATATCTTAACCACGCCAAGGGTAAGGATAACAAATAATGTTTTCATTGAGTAGCATGCATAGCATCTTCCAGGACTATGAAAGCAAATCAATAGAGATGAAGCTTTGAAGTCAGTATCACCTTGATTCTACTTTTTATTCTACAGCTCATGTATGTAGGTCTTTCAACAATAGGATTTTACTATGAAGTTCTGTGTATGATTATAACACCATTTTAGCTGCCCAAGCTCAGAAGCAACAAATACATTCTCTGTAAGGAGATGGAAGAACTACAATGCAAGCAGACAATGGCCTATTACTCAGAAGCATAAATATCACATAACTTTTCTCCCGTTCAGAACCCACACAAAAATACACATGAAATGAGAGCAGAGGAGGAGTATTAGGAGAGAAGGAGTAGACCACCAGCTCAGGGGGAGGAGGGCCAAGAGAATATAATAGGGGTGAATAGAAGCAAAGTTCAATGGAATGTATGAATGAAAATGTCCTCATGAAGCTCATTATTTTGTATATTTACTGAAAAATGTAAAATCACGAAAGAAGGAAATACTGTGATATTTATGACAGTTTGATGTTTACTTTGTATACCTAATTACTCCAATCAGTTTTGTTTTAAGTTATAATTTTAAAACATCAACTTGGGTTTGAAATATTTTGAATTTTTATTTTGAAGTTATATTCATTTTTAAATATATTTTTATATAAAGTAGATTTAATAAAATAGATAATACATTGTACCCATTTATAAAGGAGTGTATATTGAAATCTGATTGTAAATATTTCAATTGGAGATTTTATGATGTATTCGTGCATTCATAAAATGGACCAATATTTATATTTAGACAGCAGATGTTTTTGATATTAATGTGTTTTCCTTCCCTTCCTTTTTAAAATTTTCTTATAGATTTGATTCTTTCAAATAGCTGTGTTCCATTTTTGGGTTCATCAGAAGGACTGGATTTCCAAACTCTTCTTTTGGATGAGGAGAGAGGCAGGCTGCTCCTCGGAGCCAAGGACAACATTTTCCTGCTCAATCTAGTTGACTTAAACAAAAATTTCAAGAAGGTAAGTTTGTTTATATATTTCATTGTTTGGATTAATTTCATTTGTTCTGTGATCTTTATCTGATTTGTGTAAAGTAGCACACACTGTCACTCAGTATGTCTTACATATATCAAAAACAATGTGCATTGTTTCTGGCATACATGTTTTGGATTTTATGGATTTAAGTGCATGTACATATTTTTGAGTCAGCGAATATAAAATATCATGACCAAAAGAAATTTAATGAAGAAAGGATTATTTTGGGTTACAGTTATGGAGGGTTTGAGTCTTATGACCAGGATGCAAGTTAGCTGGCAGTCAGAGAAGCCTGAGCAATCACATCTCAGTTGTACATAGGAAGCAGAGAGAGAAAACTGGAAGTGTGGAGAGACTATCAACTCTCCAAGCCCACGGCCAGTGACATATTTTCTCCAGCAAGGTTCAAAGTCCTAAAAGTTCCATAACCTCCCCAAACAGTGCTACCAACTGGAGACCAAGTACTCAAATAACTGAACCTATGGGGGAGGGTGCATTTCTCATTAAAATCACTATAGCTTGTATCAATGTCAGCTTTTGATTTGGCCTCGGGTAGCCACCCATTCTCCAATTTGGATGGCACAAGTCCTGCAACTTTTAAGACTCTTGTATGAGCTTAGTTTGAACCCTGATAGTCCAAAATTAACCCTGCCTCCTCACCTCCAAGTTTGGAAAGATCAGCTATCACGGGGTGAGGGCTTGAAGCTAGTCTCTAGATATAAACATTACGAGACAGAGACTAAAGTTCCCAGAAAAAAATTAAAAAAAAAAAAAAAACAATATCACTGCCACACTTGATGTGAGTCGTGGTATACCCTTGAGACTCTACAAGTCTTTGTGGTTATGAGGATCAGGCACTGGTCAGCTAATACCAGTTTTAGTGGTCAAAGTGCTGACTTCACTAATTTAACTCCAACTTCAAGAATCATAACATGAATAAAGACTTCATTCACTGAAGGTAAATTAGAGCAATTAGCACATGGCTTTGCCTTGGAACTCAGTGCCAGCAATGGGAAGGTCCTAACAACTTTCACCCTAAATATAGAACTTTGAAGTATCCCTGATATCAGGAGGAAGCTCAGTCTTATGGGTTTCTAGTCTGGCCCGCATCATCTCAGTAGCAGGCAGTCCATAGAAATGTGAGCCTTTGGTCCTATCTCAGTGTACGTGATCAGAAAGTAATAGAGATTTGTGACATTGGTGGCCATATGCATATCATCAAATTCTAGGGCTTTCAGTGAAATTGGAGAGAATCTCACAGTGTCAAACCCCAAACAGGAGACAGTAGACAAGTGTCTGGGCCTGCCCTTGCCCCACTAGAGGCTTGGGTAAATGGATTACCGTTTAAAGAACTTCCTGATTGCTTCTGAACAACACAATATTGGAAAACTTGATAAACCTGTGCTGGGATTACAGCACTAACACAGTAACAATACTCTAATAGCATGGACCTACGTATAACATATTTTCAACAAACGGGATAAAGAACTTCATTGGAAAAGGGACAGTATTTTCAATAAATAATGCTGGGAAAACTGGTTGTGCTCATGCAAAAGAAAGGGAGTAGAAATCTCTAAATAGATGTAAAAAATCACCTGAAAATAGACTAAAGACTTAACTGTGATATATTAAATTATTAGAAGATATACAAGAAAAGCTTCAAAATATCAGAAAAGTCATATGATACCTTTTATTTTCTTTTGGTCAGGACCCTAAAGGCTCAGAATACAAACAAACAAGCAAACAAACAGAAAACAGAAAATATAGACAAATGGAAATACATCAAAATAAAAATAAAAATCTTCTATATAACAAAGTAAACAATCATCAAAGTGAAGAGCCTTCATACTGTTTTCCATAATATCTGTATTAATTTACATTCTTATCAACATTGTACAAAGTTTTTCTTTTCTCCACATCCTTCACTGTCCTTTATAATAACCAGTCTTACTGTAGTGTTTTGTATTTCAACAAATTAAAAGAACTATGCTGTGAACCAGCAATATTACTAGTAGTTATACATTCAGAGGAAATATGCCCACCAAAACAATGTCCACACTCCCACCGATTACTGCAGAACTATTGACAGTAGCCAACAGATAGAAACAAGAGTCTGTCAACTAATAAATGAATGAAGAAAATGTGGTATATATACCCAATGGCAACTTTTTGTCTTTAAAGTATGAAATCCT